CACAACTACCTTTACACATTGGCCTTCATTGTAGTTTTGGAAACCAGGTCTCAGTAAGTTTCCAGAATTGTTCTTGAACTTGTAGATCCTCTCTGCCTCTCTGCCTCTGAACAGCTAGGATCACAGCCTGTGCTGCTGGGCTGTCTGCATGGTTTTCATTTGTATTCTCTGGCAAGTGATGGCATTGGGTGTCTCTCCATGTGCTTTCTTTCTTTCTTTTTCCTTTTTTTTTTTTTTTTTTTTTTTTTTTTTCCCTTTGGGGGGTGTTTCAAGACAGGGTTTCTCTGTAGCTTTGGAGGCGGTCCTAGAACTCTCTCTCTGTAGACCAGGCTGGCCTAGAACTCACAGAGATCCACTTGCTTCTGCCTCCCGAGTGCTGGGATCAAAGGTGTGCGCCACCATTGCCCAGCTCTTGTTTTGTTTTTGGAGACAGGGTTTCTCTGTGAAACAGTCCTAGCTGTCCTGGAACTCACTCTGTAGACCAGGTTGGCCTCGAATTCACAGAGATCTGCCTGCCTTTGCCTCCAAAGTACTGGGATCAAAGACATGCTGAGATTAAAGGTATGTACTACCATTACCTAGAGCAAGTCTATTGTTAAGCATGCTGTTTTTTAAATTTTTGAAAGCCTGTTTGATATCTTTTTGTTGTTAGAACTCTAGCATTGAAAAGGCAGGAGTTTAAATTTAGTGAAGTTTAGTTTGTGGTTCTGTGGATTTTGCTTTTGTCTTCTCTCAGAATTCTGTGTTTAATTCAAGCTCTGAAAGAGTTTTGTTTAAGTACTCTGAGTTTTATACACTAAGGAAGGGCTAGCAGGGTGACTCTTGGAAAGAAAGGGCTTTTGCTTCAAAGCCTGATGGCCTGAGTTGTCCTGTAACCCACATAAAAGTGGAAGGAGGGAGTCACCCCACAAGGTTGTTCTCTGACCTCTGCACTAGTACTGGGCCCAACTTCTCCCCACCCCACCCCCATGTATACACATATGCATATAATAAACTTAATTTTAAATTAAGAAATTAGATGCTATGTAAGTAACATGCAAGTGCTTATTAGAATGCTGCCAGTGGGCAAAGGAGATGGCTGAGCAGGTTAAGGCTCTTGCTGCCAAGCTTATTCAATCGTCAGGGCCCACATAGGAAAGAGAGAACAGTCCCCTGAAAGTTGTCCTCTGACTTATACTAGCAGATGTATATACACACAGAGAGACCCAAAAAAGTAAATAAATATGGGTTGTGTTAACTTTTTTAGATTTCTTTCATCTTATGTATATGAATGTTTTGCCTGCATATATGTGTGCACACTATGTGCCTGCTGCCTGGAATTGGAGTTAAGGGGGATTGTGAGCCACCATGTAGGTTCTGCAAATTGAATATGGGTCCTCTGCAAAAGCAAGCAGTCCTTGCCAATGAGAACTCTCAAATACTGGCATTAAGAGTTTGTATTGGTGCACCAGTGAGATAGATGCTCAGCAGGCGAAAAGCACTTGCCACTCAGGCCTTGAACTCAGTCAGTCCTTGTAACTCACCATTGAAGGAGGTAGCCACCTGCCTAAAGTTGTCCTCTGACCTCCACATAGGCACTGTGACACTCACACATCATACACACACACACACACACAATAATAATAATAATAATAATCATAACAAAAAGTTACGTTTGTTTTTTGTTTTTAGAGACAAGGTGTCTTTTTGTAGCCGTGGCTGTCCTGGAACTCGTTCTATAGACCTGGCTGGCCTTGAACTCCCAGAGACCTTCCTGCTTCTAACCCCAGAGCTGGGATTAAAAGTGTTCAACACTACCACCCAGCAAAATAAAATCTTGAAATCATAAAAAGACAAAGAGAGCATAGTTGTGGTCTGCGGATATAGCTTAGTGTTATATTGCTTTGCCAAGTGCTAACCCAAGGCCCAGGGTTCAAGTCTAGTACCACAGAAAGGGAAGGCAGCTGGAGAAATGACTCAGCAGTTAAGAGAACACACTGCTCTCTTCTAGAGGACCCAGGTTCAGCTGCCAGCACCCATGTCAGGTGACTCACATCCACCTGTGGCTCCAGCTCCAGGGGCATCTGACATCTTGACCTCTGCAGGCACCTGCACTCATGTGCACTTACACACAGCCACTTCATTTAAAATAGTAAAAGTTAAAGTCAAAATAAAGGAAGTCGGGCATTGGTAGTGCACACCTTTAGTCCCAGCACTTGGGGAGGCAGAGGCAGGAGGATCCCCCTGAGTTCGAGACCAGCCTGGTCTACAAGAGCAAGTTCCAGGAGAGGCTCCAAAGCCACAGAGAAACCCTGTCTCAAAAAAAAAAAAAATAAATAAATAAATAAATAAATATAAAGGAAAAGGATCCAGCCTGATAGTTTAGTGAGTAAAGTTGCCTGCCAGCAAGCTTGATGACCTTCTCTACATGGTAGAGAGAGTTGACTTTTACCAGTTGTCCTCTGATCTCCACGTGGGTGCTGTGGCAGGTGTGTACCCACATGCACAAAGACACACTAAACAGATGAATAAATGTAATAAAAATGTAAGTAATAATAATAACGTATATAATTAGAACATCTCTTAAGCTTTAGTTTATATGGCGACTGGAGAAATGTGACAACCCATTGTTTTACTTGTTCCATGTACAGCAGAGATAGTGTAGATGGGTATTGGGGACAAGAGTGTTCACCACAGCACTATTTGAAATTAAAAAAAAAAAAAAGTTGGGAACATGGGAACATGTTTCTTATCTTTTTAGGAAGTGAGCTAAGGCTTGAACTCAGGGCCTTGAACATGTTAGACAAGTGTTCTATCACTGAGCTCCAGGCTAGCCCTTAATTTTTAGTATGTTTTGGGGCATTTTATACATTTTAAAAACTATTTTCTGTGTCTGAGTATTTGCTTGTAAGTATGCATGTGCACCGTAAGTGTGCCTGGTACTCTAAAGAGGTTAAAGAAGGGTATGGCATCTCCTGGACTGGAGTTACAGGCAGCTGTGAGCTCTAACCACAGGGTTAACTCTCCAGCCCTGGTATCTTTTCTCTCAGTGTCTTACCTTTCTTTGTAGTGCTAAGGGCTAATAGTCTACCACTGAACTGTAGGTTCCCAGTCTTTCAGTACCTGTTAAGACAATTGTTAAATACTGAAGTAAAAACCTCCATTTATTTATTTTGGATGTGTTGCCATGGTGCAGGTTTGGAAGTTAGAGAATAACTTGTGGGAATCAATTCTTTCTGTCTACCGTGTGAGTCCTGGGTATCAGACTCAAGTCCTTAGGCTTAGCAGCATGCACTTTACCCACTGCTCTGCCTGTCTCACCAGCCCTTCAATAGCTTTTGGTATGGTTGGTTTGGTTTTTCCAGACAGGCTATCACTCTGTAGCCCTGGCTGTCCTAGAACTCGCTCTGTAGGCCAGGCTGGCCTCGAAATCATAGTTCACTGCCTCTGCCTCCCAAGTGCTTGGATTAAAGGCATGAGCCACCACTGCTCTACTCAATAGCTTTTAATATAGGAAATAGCTAAACTACCAGGTAATAAATGAAATACATACATATACATATGTGTCTATCAATTGCATGTGGGAATTAATAAAAATAAAGTAGGACTATGGAGCTGAGTCAGCAAGTAAATGCTTGCTACACAAGCATAAGGACCTAACTTCAGGTCTCCTGCACCCACAGGAAAGCCAGGTGTAGTTGGCATCTGTGTTACCTAACATTGGAGTGCTTAGAGACTGGTGGATTCTTTGACCTCTACATATGTGCTGTGATACACGCATGCTTCCACCCTATGTGATGATAAACACTGGGGAGAGCAATAGAAGATACTGGACATCCATTTGCATATGCAGAGGCTTGTGTACCTGCACATATATGCACACACAAAAGTAAATGAAAGGTGGGAATGGTGATGCATCCCTTTAATGCCAGCACTCTATAGAGGCAGAGGCAGTTGTTCTCTGGGTTCAAGGCCAGCCTGATCTACATAGTGAATTCCAGGATAGCCAAGGCTACATAGTGAGACCCAATCACAAAAAAAAAAAAAAAAAAAAAAAAAAACCAAAGACAAAAAATGAAACACTACAAATACTGGTGAATATAGTAGAAAAGCCAGTGCCATAAAGACATGTATTGAGATCATACTAGCGACTTTCTGATATAGGTATTTTCTTATTAAAAAATGTGACTATGAAGCCAGGCATAGTGGTGCCTTTGTGTAGTACTAATTTGTAATGCTAGCACTTGGAGGGTCAGTATTTCAAGGGCATCCAAAGCTGTGTATATATTGTGAGACCTGCCTGGGCTACATGAGATTCCATTTCCAAAAAAAAAAAAAAAAAGAAGAAGAAGAAGAAAACAGGAAGATGAAAGTTTCTGTTGGTTTACAACAAACTGAGGATCTTATAGCCTAGGCTAACCTCAGTCCTGCTCTGAAGCTGAGGAAGACCTTGAACTTCTGATCTTCTTGCCACAGTGTCCAGGTTGACTTACAACAAGCTCTTAATGATGTCTTCAGGTGCCATTATCAGGTACTTTTTCAATGCTTACTCTTACACTGGGCACAGCAAAAACTATATTGCAAGAAGTAAGAACTTGCCAAATATATGATGCACATCTTTAATCCCAGCACTTGGGAGGCAGAGGCAGGAGGAGTTCAGTGAGATCGATGCCAGCCTGATCTACAAAGTGAGTTCCAGGCCCCCAGGGCTATATAGAACCTAATTTAAGGGGGGGGGGAGCTCTGGAGTAATAGGGAATACACATTTCTTAGTTGTTTTATGGTGTCTATAAAAAGACCATTCTGTTTTGTGATTATGGCAGTTGTGATTAAGTTTTTATTTTGAAAAATCAAATAATAAGGACTGATACGGAAATTTTTATTTGATTGTGTATAATAATTCTTATTCTTATTGATCACAACCTTTTCATGTGTCATTACCAGTATGATACACGGGGCAATGAATGCTGCATTTTTCATACTCATGATATATACAAATAATGATTTCTTTTTTTTAAAAGCAGGACAGAAGGACCAAGCTGTTGAATGGTACAAGAAAGGTATCGAAGAACTAGAAAAAGGAATCGCTGTTATAGTAACAGGCCAAGGTGGGTTTTATGTATAGTTTCTATTGCCATCTCCCTCCAGGGCTCCTCGTGGATTAAAGTGTAAGAGTGTTCAGCCCTAGACATTATATTCATAACCAGGATGGCTGCTGAGTGACTGCTGGGCACTAGCAATTAATGTTTATACTTTGGACAAAGAGGAGATTCATGATCTGGGTGGGATAGATTAGATAAAGGTAAATTTTCATTTATGACATGCAGCTCAGTATCTATAACTTGTTTGTTTTGTAATTCTCCATTTAATTATTTTGGACTATAGTTGATTACAGATAACTGAAAGTTCTGAAAGCAGATTTGCAGAAGTGGGTTGGTCACTGAATTTACACAATTCTCTCTTTTTAGATCTATTTACCTCAGTAAATACATTTTATTTCTTGATGTCATTGTATTTTATTTGTTTGTTTTTTAATTATTTATTTTTATTTCATGTGTATTGGTGCTTTTGCCTGCATATATGTTCATGTGAGGGTATTGGATCCCATAGAACTGGAATTACAAACAGTTGTGAGCTTCCATATGGTTGCTGGAAATTGAACCCAGGTCCTCTAGAAGAGGAGCCAGTATGCATAACCACTGAGTCATCTCTCTAGCCCTTCTTGATGTCATTGTTAATATTTGTGAATGTATGATATTGGCTATTCTAAAAGTGAAACTCTGGTCTCAAACATGATTTCCTATAACCGGTAGGCAATAACTAATACACTATAGCCTTTTTTTCTTTTAATGACTTATTTATTATGTTTACAACATTCTGCCCCCATGTATTCCTGCATGCCAGAAGAGGGTAACAAATCTCATTATTATAGATGGCTGGAAATTGAACTCAAGAACTTTGGAAGAGCAGTCAGTGCTCTTCACCAGCCCCTACACTATAGCCATCCAAGGATCAAGGATCAATAAGTGATCAGTTGGTTATCACTCATATGTGTTTTTCTTGTTGAGTTTAAGTAATCTTTTGTTGTTGTTAGGATTATTAGTTCTTACACACTAAGCAAGTGTCCTATCTCTGAGCTACATTCTCAGCCTGTTTTTTTTTTTTTTTTTTTTTTTTTGTTTGTTTGTTTGTTTTAAGTACATGTTGGAATATAAACCAGGTGCACACCTTTAATCTCAGGATTTAGGAGGCAGAAGCAGTTGGATCTCTGTGAGTTCAATGTCAGTCTGGGGTATACAGTGCAACCCTGTCTGAAAAACAAAATAAATTGGGAATTTCTTATTTTGCTTTACGTTTGACTCTTATTTCCTGCCACCTCAAATTTGAATTATGATCTAAGACAGGTGTAATCATGTAATCCCAGCACTTGGCCGGTGAGGCAGGAAGATCTCAAGTTCAAATCTAGCTGTAGTTGTATAGTCAGCGTATCAGAAAAAAGACATAAGTAAAATTAGAGTCTACTGTCTGAGTAACTATAGGTAAAACATTTGTTGTCTACTTCCTGTCTCCCAGCAGTCACTTGACTCCTTGCTCTGCAGCAACTGTTGTCCTTAGTTTTCAGATGAGAAACATGAAGTACAGAGATATAACTAAGTTCCATGCCTAGCAAGTGAGGAACCCACACCATCAGATGTCGGTCTTTTTCCTCCTCTTCCTCCTCTTTTTTTGGGTTTTGGAGGCTGTCCTGGAACTAGCTCTGTAGACCAGGCTGGCCTCGAACTCAAGAGTTTTGCCTGCCACTGCCTTCTGGCTTTTTTTTTTTTTTTTTTTTTTTAGTTTAATGTATATGGGTGTTTTGCCAGCATGTATGTTGTGTACCATGTATGTGCCTGGCACCATACAGAGGCCAGAGGAAGGAATTAGATTCCCTGGGACTGAAATTACAGATGTGTGTGAGCCATCATGTGGGTGGTGAGAGTAGAACCTAGGTCCTCTGAGAGAGCACTTAGTGCTCTTAACCTCTGAACCATCTCTCCAGGCCCTGAAGGTTGAATTTTTAAAAGTGTGGTGACTGTTGTGTACTGTGAGCATTAATGTTAAATCAAGTACAGTTGTGCTTAGCAGCAGGAAGATAGTGTAATGAATCAGTCATTGGGGCATTTCCTCACTGTGAACATCACCATGATGTACTTATACAAACCTGGTGGTATAATCACTCTAGCTGGCCTTCAGCTCCCAGCCTCACAAGTGTCATGACCTCTCTCTATTTTAAAAATTTAGTTACTTTGTTGTTGTTTGAGACAGGGTCTCACTATGTAGCATTGGCTGGCTTAGAACTCTATATGGATCAGGCTGGCCTCAAACTCAAGAGATCTGCCTGCCTCTTTCTCCTGAGTGCTGGGAATATAGGTGTGCACCACCACACCCAGCTGTCTTTTATATAAACAAGCAGAATAGAACTTAGTGGTAGATCATTTGCCTAATTTTGGTGATGCTCTGAATTTAAACTCAAGCATTACAAATTCAGTTTAAGAGGCTTTGATGAACATTACTTTATGAATTAAAAATGTAAATATATGCAGTTCTTTTCAGTTCTACAAAGAAATGGTAGATGGAGATGATCCAAAATGCCTTTTATTTAGGAAATATGTTTTCTTCTTAACACTTAGCATTTAAGTTCTGATTTTACGGACTAGAATGTGTGTCTCTCATAGACATCGAAACAGTAATACCTGACAGATTTATTCATACACGGGCAGTGGCAAAGTATGACTGATGAGGCCTGGATGATAGTGAGTTGGCACAGATGACAGGTCACATCCTAGCTCAACAGTTTTTGTGTTTTGTTATTAGTTTATTCATTTATTATTTATATGTGTATAATGGAGGGAGGGGGAGGTAAGAGGGGGTTCTGAATACTACCTCTAGTTCTGGGACTTGCACTTGGTTGTCAGGCTTGTATAGCAAGCAGCTCTACCCGATGAGCTGTCTCACTGGTGTCAGTTCAAAGACAAGTATGAGAAAAAATGTCATGGGCTCTATGAAATAGTGTGAAATCCATGCAGTAGATTTGAAGCCATCATGAGGAACTGTGGCAATTATTCTTTGAAGTAATATGTCTATGTATGATATACATATGTATTTAAGACAGCTTCACACTGTATATTCCAGACTGGTCTTAAATTCACTGCCCTTTTGCCTTAGCCTCCTGAGTTCACCTAGCATTTCAAGGGTCCTTCACCTTGCCTAGCAAAAACATTCCTTCCCTCCTCCTCCCTTTTTTTGAGACAAAAATCTCACTCTGTAACCCAAGCTGACTGACATTGAACTTAACTCGTTTGTCCAAGTCTTGGGATTACAAGTGTGAGACACTTTGCCCAACCTTAAATTTCTTTATGAAGAAAGATTTTGATTCTTCTTGAAGGTAACTAGAACAACACTTAATCTTAAAACACTGTTGGTAGGGAAATGTAGACATTTTAGCTAATTCTTCCTTTCTTTTTTTTCCATTTAGGTGAACAGTATGAAAGAACTAGACGCCTTCAAGCCAAAATGATGACTAATTTGGTTATGGCCAAGGATCGTTTGCAACTTCTAGGTATCAACTTCTCTAATTAGTTATGAATTATACTTGAAATGTGTAATGATCATTAATGTTAAGGGCCAGGCACATAGTTCACTGGTAGAGCATAACATGTATTAGGCCCTGTGTTCAGTCTCCAGTGAGAATTAACTCTTTACCAGTAGTAGATCAGTAATTTCCATTTTTAAATTTTATTATTTTTTGTGTGTGCCTGGTGTTTATATGTACATAGTATGCACAAAGGTGCCTATGGAGATCAGAAGGGAGCATCAGATGCTCTAGAACTAGAGTTCCAGGTGTTTACTTAATGTGGGTGTGGCATCCCTCTGCAAGAGCTCCAGTACTCTTAACCATTGGTCCTCCCTCCCTCCTCTCCCTCCCTCCCTTCTTTCCTTTTCTGGTTTGTTTTTTGTTTGTTTTGTTTTAGTTTTTCAAGACAGGGTTTCTCTGTGCAACAGTCCTAGCTGTCCTGGAACTCCATGTGTAGGCCAGGGTTTGTCCAGAATTCACAGGCAAAGATCCTTCTGCTTTTGTCTCCCGGTGCTGGGATTAAAGGCAGGAGGCATCACTGCCTGGTTAACACCAGTCATATATTAATGGAAGGGCCACAAGTTCCTCTTCCCAGAGATTAGAATGTCTTCCTCTTATCAGGAACTTTGCTCAAGCCCTTGAGAAAATGGGGACTTTTGTCTAAATGTCTGACCTTGGGAAAAGGACTTTCTCCAGGTACCAAACACTCCATTATAGAATATTGCAGTTTTTGTACGGCTTAGTTTATCCAAATAGCTAAAGCTTTTAAAATGAGCAAGGATGAAGCTAGACAAATGCTACTTTTAATCTGAGCAGACCTTAGGAATTTATAAATCTTGATTATCAAATATACCTTATTTATCAAACAAATCTTATCAAATTCTCCTTGTTTTTCAAGTATGTTACTTATCTACATTCTCTAATAGCTTGGTGTTAACATATATGGGAGTAGGGAGAGTTATCATGCTACGTGGTTCCATGGTGGCACAGAATTATTTTGTTTAAAGAGGCTGCCATTTTATGTTTTCGTCCTTCAAAGCCTGCATAATATTTCGAAAGGAACAGGCATAAGGGGGCTCCCATAACGCATAGTGAGAATCATTAAAAAGAAAGAGAAAGGAAGGGAGGAAGGAAGGAAGGAAGGAAGGAAGGAAGGAAGGAAGGAAGGAAGGAAGGAAGGAAGAAAGAAAGAAAAAGGGGGCTGGAGAATTGTGATCTGCAAAATCGAAATACTGGAATGGTCGCTGTGGGGTCCACCTCAGGCTGGCCTGGAACTTACAGAGATCCACATGCTTCTGCCTCCCAAATGCTATGATCAAAGGTGTATGATGTCACACCCAGCTAAAAGGTTTTAAGTAGAGCTATATGGTAAGATTTTTTTGTAAAATCCATCAGTGAGGTGATCCTTTAGGAATTAGATGTAAGGAACTTAGGGAAGTATGGCTGTTTTAGTTTAGGTAGCTGTATTTAGTCTGTATTACCTTGGTAATTTTAAAAAGCAGCAGTAGTCTCTCAGTTGTTGTGGCAGGAATAGAATTCAGGTCTTGTACATACTACTTGAGTTCTTTACCTATAAACTTCATCCTCAGTTACTGTTTTGTTAATAGGGGTTAACTGAAATATGGTCACAGTGTGTGCCTTCGTGTGTGTGTGTGTTTATGCAGGTAGATTTGTAAACTCTACATATTTACCTGTAACTTTTTGTTCCCAGTCATCAAAAACATTAAGATTTTTTAGTCATCAAAAAAATTTTTTTTTAATTTTTTTTAATTTCTGCTTGTCTTTACTATATAATGCATGTTTCTGGTTACTTCTTGTGTTAATAAAGAAGACACTTAATAACCAGAATTTTTCTAACTTCTGTTTTCACCAACACTAATAATTGTGCCTCAGTATTTTGATTTAAGGAGCATTATCATTGAGAAAAATCAGATGACCTACCTCCAGTTAACCAAAGTAAATAGAAAGGACCCAAGGTATATTGTATCAGCCACTTCTCAGACACAAAAGCTGCACACTGCTTTGTGCTTGTATACAAAGGTGACTGCTATTTTACCTGTCCCAGAGGCATGTGATACTGCACTGTAAACCAAGCACGGTGCCTGCTTGTCTGACTTAGGAATATAAGTCTAAGAGTTAGTATGTATGTTCTGCTTCCTTTGCTTTGTTCTTTGGGGTGCTAATAATTGAAGCAGGTCCTTGCATATGGTAATTGCATATTCCACCCTGAGCTACATGTACCTTGGCCTAGTGCTGCATTTACACCTGGGTTCAGTGGCTTTCTAATACAGAACAAGCTTACTTCAGCAAAACATTTTTGGGAAAAGGTGATCATCCCTTATTTGAATGAGACAGATAGGTGTGTCATCTTAGGAGCAGTGTCTGGCAGCCTGAATATAGATGACAACCCGGGGAGGCAGGAAGGCTGCAGCCTTACTCCATACACCCTTCTGCCCCAGGCAGCAGGCTGACACAGTCTATGGAGGGTTGTTATTTGAGATGGGGTAGGATTGGAAAAAATCTTTTCATTGATTAGTTACATCTTATATTGCATAGAATTTCAAAGTATGGCTGCCATCCTTCCACTGTGTCCAAGTGATCCCTTCTCCTCTCAAGAGGCAGCTGTACTGGACCCATCGAGAAGTGACCAACTGTGTGTATGTGTGTTCACAAACAGTATACAGCACACACAGTTTATCATGCTGGTCTCCTTGCCTTTTGTGCTTTTTTTTTTTTTTTTTTTTTTTTGCTCGACTTAAGCTAATAGAGCCAATGACCTTTCTTGTTATTTCCTACTATGCTGTTTTTAAGTGTGATTTCCTCTTGCAATACCCTTTTGATCTTAGGGAGACCATGCTGTACTTCTTTGTAAAGCCTTTTCTTTCTTTTTTTATGATTTATTTTTTATCCGTATACATTGGTGTTATGCATGCATGAAAATCTGTGTGATGGTGCTGGATCGCCTTAAATTGTAGTTATAGAACATTGTGAGTAGCCATGTGGGTACTCGGAACTGAACCTCAATCCTCTGGAAGAGTAGCCAGTGCTCTTAACTGCTGAGTCATCTCTCCAGTCTTGTAAAGCTTTTTGTTGTTGTTTTGTTTTTTGTTTTTATTTTTTCAAAACAGTGTTTCTCTGTGTAGCCCTGGCTGGCCTGGAACTCACTCTATAGACCAGGCTGACTCTATCTCTGCTACAGTTAAAGGTGTTTGCCCCCACCACCACCACTCAGCTCTGTAAAGCCTTTCAATAGGCTTTTTGTACTATACAGTCTTTTAAAAATACAGTTACGTTGAACTGGATGTCATAATACAGGTCTTTTGGTTTGGTTCAGTTCGGTTTGGTTTGGGGGACAGAGCTTTTCTGTATACCCTTGGGTGCCCTGGCACTTGCACTGTAGACCAGGCTGGCCTCAAACTTCCTGAGATCCTCCTGCTGGGTCTAAAGATGTGTGTCATTACCGCTTGGCTGATAGTACAGGTCTTTTTAATGCCAGCAGATCTCTGAGTTCAGGGCAAACCTGGTCTGCATAGTGAGTTTTACAATATTCAAGGCTACATAGACCCTGTCTCTAATAACAACAACAAAAATAATGTTAATAAGTACTAATGCAATTATACAATTATAATTGTTAATTATATTTAATAAGAACGAGTCACTTTTTATCTGAGTATCACTATGTTAACTTAGGGATTTGAGCATATGATAGGCAGCCATCACTTGCTGTTGATAATAGTGTTAAGTAACTGTCTTAGGTTACCAGCCTGGATAAGGTCTATTTTCAACATAGCCTTCCACATGTTAACTTCATATTTTTCATATGAGTTCCTCTTAATTACATATTTTAGTGAATATTTCATATATGTATAAAAACTTCACTGACAGCTTTGTAACACAATAATTTTCCACATGCCTTTTATTTGTTTATTTTCTTTCTGTTTATTTTGTTCTTTTTTAACCTCCTCTGTTGCATAGAGAAGCTGCAACCTGTTTTGCAGTTTTCCAAGTCACAAACGGACGTCTATAATGACAGTACTAACCTGACTTGTCGAAATGGACATCTCCAGTCAGGTAGGTTTAGGCTAACTAACATAAACTAAAGCTTACATGGAAAAACGAACTCTTCCTTACCCTACAATGTTGATTTAGTAGCTGTATAGTAGAAGGTATAACTGTTTTGTTTTCACAGGGTTAGTAGAACATACAGTATACTTATGGGATATGGGGAGGTGGTACTCTCATTACTGTTTAGATCCTTAAATTGTACTTGATATACCTGTTCTTTTACATACATACATACATACATACATACATATATACATACATGCATGCATACATGTATGTATGTGTTTGTGTGTGTTCGTGTATACATTTTGATGTCAGAGGACAACTGAAAGAAGGGATCCTCTCCTACTACCGGGTATGTCCTTGGGATTAAACTCAGGTTATTAAACTTGGTCACAAGTGCCTTTCCCCACTGAGCCATCTCAGAAAACCTAATTTTATCTTTTGTTGCTGTTAATATTTTGTGTCATTTGGGACAGGATCTTACTATGTAGCTCTGCCTATCTTGGAACTTACTATATAGATCAAGTGTCCTGTATCTTCCAAAATCCATCAGTATTCATGACTCTGCTTTCCCAGTATTGGAAATATGAACATATTATACCATATCTGTACATAATTTAGTAGGTTTTTTTTGAGTCAGTGTCTCACTGTGTATCCCTGGCTGGCTTGGAATTGTATATAGACTAGGCTGGTTCCAACTCAGAGACCTGTCTGCCTCTGCATCAAGTACTAGGATTAAAGTTGTGTACAATCATACACAGGCTGTACAAGTTCCTTCAAATAATTAAAATGTTTTTATTTCTGTTGTATTTTAAGTGTTTGTGGGGTTTTTCTTTTTCTCTTTTGTGTTTTTTAACATGGGAATTTTAATATTTTGTCAAATATCCTTTACTGTCTATCAGTTTGTGTGTGTGTATGTGTGTGTGTGTATCACTTTATCTTGGTACTTGTTAGAAACTGAAGCTTCACATACCAAGAAGATACATTTTAATTGTACTATTACTATGGAGGACATCTTGCTATAACTGTTGTTTATCCAGTCCTTTAGAAGATTAAATATAGAAAGAAAGAATTAAATGCCTTTTACTTTGTTCCAGTGGAAGAAACTTCATTTTCTAGGCTTTTCCAGTCTCCGTTGTTTTTTGTTTGGGTTTACTTTGATTTTGCAGTGATAGTGTTGATGCCCAGGCCCTCATGGGAGCTACAAAAGTGCCCTGTGCTCCCTGTACCTCAGGTTGTTTGCTTGGTTGCTGGTTTAGTTTTTTTGTTGTTGTTTTTGTTTTTGTGTTTTGTTTTTCTTTTTCAGTAATGATTTCATGTTCTGGGTAATTGGTTGGTTTTTTTTTTTTTTTTGAGACAGTGTTTTAATCTGTAGCCCCAGCTGGGAGTTACTATGTAGCCCAGGCTGCTGTGGATTGCTAGGCTCAATGTCCCTATCTCAGACTTCTGAATAACTTATTACAGGAATGTGCCACTTTATCCAGTTTTGGACTTAAATTTTATTAGAGCAAATATAGCTTCAAATTGTGATATAAACTTTAAGTTAGTCAATGAAGCAGCTGCTGGTTTTGTGGGTGTGTTTTTGGTTTGTTTAGGTTTTTGGTTTGTTTGTTTGTTTGCTTGTTTGTTTGAGACAGGATTTCTCTGTGTAACAGCTCTGGCTCTGCTAGACCAGGCTGGCCTTGAACTCACATAGAGATGCTGGCCTTTAGCTTCCTAGTAATAGCAGGATTAAAGGCTGGTGCCACCATTACCAGCTTGCTTTTTCATTTTTAAAAATTCATTTACTTTACGTATGATTGGTTTGCCTGTATACATGTATGTGTATCACATTCATGTTTGGTACTTGTAGAAGTCAGAAGGTGGTGTAAGACTCCCAGGAATTGAAGTTATGGATCATGTGAGCTACAAAGTTCTGGAAACCAAACTGAGGTTCTCTGCAGGAGTAACAAGTATTATTAACTGCTGAATTGTCTCTCTAGCCCCGCCCCTGTTTTTATTTTATTTTTTTTTTAAGGAAAAATATTTTTATGTTTGTGTTTTGCTTGTGTGTATGTCTGTGTTCCTTGTACATGTAATGACAACATAAGCCAGAAGAAGGTGTCAGATCTTCCAGAACTGGAGTTACAGGTGGCTATGATGTGCCATGTGGGTGAAGGGAACTGGCCCAGGTCCTCTGAACGTGCAACAAGTGTTCTCTGTCACTGAACTATCTCAGCCTCCTGTTTTTGTTAATATTAATTATGTGTACAAGTGTGAGTATGCACAGGTATTTGGGGTTGCCAGAGGCCAGAGGGGTCAAATCCATCCCCACCCCCAAGTTACAGGTGTTGTGAGCCACTCAGTGTGAGCACTGGGGTAAACTTGGGTGCTCTGCAAGAGTAGTCAGTGTTTTTAACTGCTGAGGCTTTGCTTCAGCCCTGTGGTTAATAGTTCAGTGAGTGATGTTTCCTCTTGAACCTTTGGAGATAGCAGTAGTTTCAGCCTCTGTTATGACTAAAATAATTCTAGCAATCATAGTCCTTTATGTTCTAGGATCTAGGCAATCCAGACCGAGTTTATAATAATCTCCCTGATTGTCATAAATTTGATTAGCACAGTATAACCAAATGACTGGGTTGGTCTAGTATTTAGACTGTCAATTCTCTTATTAATCCTCCAGTGGCAATGTAACAGTTTAGTTCTCCAGATAAACTTGTTTAAGAGTTCTTAATTTCCTTTAAAGGTATTCAAAAGCAAAACCAAGGCTTCTGGCTCTTGAACAGTCTAATTTACTGTCCAGTTTAATATTTTTCTCCTCTCCTCTCCCCCATCCTTTTGAGAGAGTCTTTTGTTTGTTTTGTTCTGGGGTGCCCCACACCCCCAGACAGTTTCTCTGGCTGTTTTGGAGCCTGGTCACTCTGTAGATCAGGCTAGCTTCAAACTCACAGAGATCTGCCTGCCTTTGCCTCCCGAGTGTTGGGAATAAAGGCACAAGAAGGTCTTGCTATGTAAGTTTTGGCTGGTTTAGAACTTGGCAGGTAGACCAGGTTGTCCTAGAATTTGCAGTGACCTGCCTGTCTCTGCTTGCTGAGTTGGGATTATATGTGTCACCATAATCAGCATTTTTTGTTCATTTGTTCATCTATAAGGAGTAAGGTTTTTCCTCCCGCCGCTGGTCTTGTCCCTCCGCCGCGCCAGCCCCAATTAACACAGAGACGCTGTATTTGATATAAATCTGTTCTTATCATCTAGCTCTGTCTTAATTATTAACCCATTTCTGTTAATCTAAGTATCTCCATGTGGTTTCATCTTACCGGGGAATGGGGCCGGTGTCTGGTCTCTCCAGTCTCTCCATGTTGACTCCTCCTTACTATTTCCTCTTTCCTCCTTGTCTCCTAGTCCCGCCTGTCTTGCTTTCCTATTGGCCAACAGTGCTTTATTCATTAACCAGTATGAGAAACATATATACAGAATGATATCTCCCATCATTCATCTGTTGTTAGTTTGTTTTGTTTTGATATTTCTAAGAAATGGCATACATCTGGCTTCTGTCTGTTTTTTGAGACAGGGTCCCTCTATTACGTAGCTCTGGTTGTCTTGGAACTTACTATGCAGAACAGGCTATCCTGTAACTTAACAAAAATTCACTTGCCTCTGCCTCCCAACTGCTGGGATTAAAGACATGCACCACTATACCCAGCTTGCTTTTTCTTTCTTAAACATAGTTTCACACTTTGTAGCACAGGCTGGCTTAGAACTCATGAAGCCCAGGTTATTGTTGAACTCACAGAAATCTTACCTGGCACAGCCACCGTACTTGCCTGGCTTAACATTTGTCTCTACAATAAACATCACTATTAATAAGCACTGGTTTCTGTTTCATAGGAATATAGTTATATCTTAGAAGTTCTGATCTTTGAGCATTTAAAAGCCTGTAACTTTCTCATTTGTTTATTTCCTTTGATTATGATACACATATCACATTAAATACTTGACATACTGAAGGCTACAACTTTATATTCTTTCAATTAAAAATTGGTTATTCAAAACAAAACTTTCAGTGGACATGAGTTGTCATCTTTCATATTTCATAGCCAAAAAGTTTGCAGTTATAGGCTGGGGTGACACTCAGTGAAGTGCCTGTCATAATAAGCATGAGTACCTGAGTTAGATCCTTAGCGCCCACATAAAAGTCAGATACAGCAGTATAGAAGTGTAACCTCAGAAGTGGGGTGAGATGCCAGGAGTCTAACCCAGTTGATGAGCCCCAGGTTCAGTGAAGCTGTGAGGTTGAGGATGACTGAGGGAGACACCTGACATCAAATTGGTCTCTGCATGCACACAGCCACATACTACATACACTGCACACACGAAAGTGGACAGTCAAGTAATGGAGTGTTGCTGTTTTCTCCTTTGTATAGGTTTTTTCCTAGTGCCCTCACAGCATTCTTTTTCTTAGTTATTTGGGAGCTTTATTTGCTTCGTAGCTTTTTTTTTATGTCTTGTCTTCCCTCACAAGTTGTTTTTCTAAATGCAGTTCTTCATAAGAAAATTAGAATCTACAACAGGGGAAGGCAAACCTCATAACCAAATCTCTTTTCCTAGTAAACATTCCCATGACATCCTGGTTTATTTTCTGACTCAGATCTTATTTCTAATACTTCTGGATTTAAAAACTTTTGTTAAGGGCCAGCCTGGCCCCAGGGCCATGTCAGTCCCAAAATAACACACAAAGACTCTATTAGTTATAAAGCTGTTTGTCAATGGCTAGAGCTTCTTATTGGCTAGCTCTGTCCTAAATAGTAACTTCTATAAATCTAAGTGTTTTCACGTGGTCTTATCTTACTGCAGAGACTTCTGTCACGTCCTACATCTTGATTCCTCTCTACTACATCTCCCAGAATCCTGCTTGTCTCCTAGTCCTGCCTATATTGCCTTCCTGTTTACCAACAGTGCTTTATTCATTAAGCAATAAGAGCAACATAGTTATAGAATGACATCTCCTATCAGCCAGTGAGATGGCTCAACAGATAAAGGACCTTACTGCACACTCTTGATGGCCTGAATTCAACCCCTGGGACCTACATGGTAGGAGATGAGAACCAAAGTCAGAAGGTTGTCTTCTCTGACTTCTGCACATATGCCATGACATATGTGCACCCATACTCATACACAGACACACACACACACACATACTGACATATGTGCACCCACACTCATACACACATCATACATACACAGAGTAGTAATAAATACAAATTGTAAATGCTGGTACCTTGTTTTGCAAATTTGTTAGTATTTTTATTGTTGTAAATATTATAAATTGTTATTATTAGTTTTTATGTGCATAGTCAGTTTCTGATTATGATGGCTATAATTTTTCCTTGATAGAAAGTGGAGCAGTTCCGAAGAGGAAAGATCCCCTAACACATGCTAGTAATTCATTGCCTCGATCAAAAACAGTCATGAAAAGTGGATCCTCGGGCCTTTCGGGTCACCACAGGGCACCTAGTTGCAGTGGTTTATCCATGGTTTCTGGAGGAAGGCAGGGAACTGGTCCTGCAGCTGCCACACATAAGGTACTCTCAGGGAATGTATTTGTGTGTTGCATGTACAAAACTTTGTTATACTTTTTGTGTATTAGTTATAGTTTATAGAGTTGGTTTCCACAAAGTTAAATTTAATTTTTTTTTCCCCAGACAGGCTTTCTCTGTAGCTTGTAGACCAGGCTGGTCTCAAATTCACAGAGATCTTCCTGCCTCTGCCTCCCAAGTGCTGGGATTAAAGATGTGCCTGGCCCTAAATTTAATTTTTTTAATTTGCAGAAACTATTTGCTATTAAAATCTTAGTTCCTTTCAGAATAATTAGGAATTTTATATTGTTTACTTATCAGGTCTTTTCAGTATAATCTTGTATATGTCATTTTAATTCTAGCTTTAGAATTATTTCAAATTATGTAAATTTTACTATTTATTTGTTTTGGATTTTCAAGCCAGAGTTTCTGTATGTAGCCTTGGCTTTTCTGGAACTCATTGTATTGAACAGGATAACATTGAACTTACTGATATCCTCTTCCTTCTGCTTTCTGAATGCTGGAATTAAAAGCATGCACCACCACCAGCCAACTAGAGTTTGCTTATTTTAGAACATTAACCACACCTAGAGTTTTGTTGTAATTCTAACAGAAGTCAAAAATAGAAGACATTTCTCTCAAAATGTCTTTAGGTTTAAGTGTGGGCGTGCATGCATGTGTGTGTGTGTATGTGCAGCTGAAGGCCAGAAGAGGGCTCTGGGTGTTCTACCTATTCCTTTGAGGAAGGGTTTACCCTTGAACCTAGAGCCTGTTTGTTCTTGGCTGGAAGCCTGTAGGCCCTGGTGGTCATCTGGTTCCCATTGCCTTCAGAACTGGGGTTACAGGCATGTACAAGATGACTGGCATGTTAGGTGAGTGTTTGTGATTTTCCAGTGAAAGCTCTTAACTGCGGAGCCAGTTCTTTTCCTTGCCTTTGTCTTTTATGGTAACTGCCTGTCTAGATAAAATCTTTTAGCCCTCTTTTTGTCAAATGTCCTTCTATAGTGAATGCCATTTTGGGTTAAATACTCAATCTTTGCAGTCTTAGATTTTTTTTCTTTGTGTTTTCCTGTGTGTGGAGATAAAACGTAGACCTCAGATAACTTCCTCAATCACTTTGTACATCAAACTTGGAGCTCTCACACTCTCCTAGAACAGCTGGCCTGTGAGCTCCAGGTAGCCACCTGTCCTTGCCCCTGCCAGCTGAGTTACAGATGACCACATGGCTGCTTACTTGAGTGCTCAGGACCTGAACCCAGGTTCTTACTGTTGTGTAGCAAGCATTTCACTCACTAAGCATCTCCCCAGCTTCGTGTTTCCCCATTTCTATTAAATTCTACCAACCTTTAGGATTATCTATGAGAGAAAAGTCTAGGTTGTTTCACATTAAATTTTTGTGTCTTCAAGGGTATTCCAAAACCGAACAGAACCAACAAACCTTCTACACCCACAACAGCTGTACAGAAAAAGAAAGACTTGAAAAATTTTAGGAATGTGGACAGCAACTTGGCAAACCTCATAATGAATGAAATTGTTGATAAGTAAGTTTTGCCAAGCATTTCAGTTTCTATTTAGTTTTACTTATAAAATACATGTGTGATATATAATAACTATTTTGTTTACTTTCTTCCTTAATTTTTATGGTAGTTTTGAAGATTTTTTTGTGAACAAACAAGTTTTACAGTTAACATAAATATGTCTGTGTTAGGCTGCAGTACAGTAATTGAACCATATTTCTCTTGTGTGTGGTGTTCTGTTTTTTAGTGGGACAGCTGTTAAATTTGATGATATAGCTGGTCAGGAATTGGCAAAACAAGCACTACAAGAAATTGTTATTCTTCCTTCTCTACGGCCCGAGGTAAGGATTTTATGTTATCAAATGATTCATTCATATTAAATAATTGCAAGTTCAGTATTTTTAAAAAATACCAACATTAAGTCTGGAAATGTACCAAGCATCCAGCTGAAGAAGCTGAGGCAGGGGGACCTTGAGCTTGAGGCTAGTATGGGTCCCACAATGAATTCTGGATCAGCCTGGGCCATAATATAGCATGATATGTCTGACTCCTCCCTCACAGAAGGCATTTTCATTTCCTCTCAGTAACTTGTTACAAGAGATGAGAATGAATTTAAGAAATTCTGAATCCATTTTAACTTTCATGAGAAAATTAGATAATTGTATGACACATAGTGAGACCCTGTCACACCCCACTCCCCAAAGAAAGATATTTTTAGATAACAAATGATAAATACTTGACATGTCTGGATCAGCTGTCTAGAATCATGGCTGTAACCAAAGTACATTTTGTAAAGTTGTTCACAGGGCTCAGAGCTCCTGCCAGAGGGTTGTTACTCTTCGGTCCACCTGGAAATGGAAAAACAATGCTGGTAAGAAAGTTATCAAGGTTGAGGATTCTATTGAGAGATTAAGAATCATACAGAAAAAGAAGCTTTATATATTGTCCCCAAACTTATTATTTATGACTTATTGTTATGTAATATACCTGAATTTTTAAAGTCGTTTTCATGCAAAACTAAATGGAAAACCATGTATTACTCTCAGTAGCATGTTTTTGGCTTTGTTTTGCAGAAGAGCTTACCTTACTGTTCTGATAATTTGTCTAATGATACTTAAAATTTTTCCATTGTAACAAGTTTGGCCAGTTATTTTGCTGTTGGTTTCCTTCATTATCCTTTGTCCAGAGGTTGGTTTTTGTTTTGTTTTGTTTTGTTTTGTTTTTACCAAAATCTCAATACTTACAACTGCATCATTCTTCTGAGCTGTAAAAAAACAGTTATTAAAGGCATGGTAGCATTGACGAAGCAGAGGCAGGAGGATCTCACTGAGTTCAAGGCCAGCCTGGTCTACAAAGTGAATTCCAGGCCAGGCATGACTACATAGTGAGACATGGTCTCAAACAAAACTCAACAGGAAAGGAGTAAACTTCCCCTTGCCTATGTCTCTGGCTAGCTCTCTCCCTGTGAAAGAAATGTAACGCGTAGACTTGTAGCTGATGCTGAGAGTCATATCACACCTCCTGCCCTAGTACTTCTGTGATGAGATGTAGCTGTCATAAAAGATCAGGACATTCGACTAACATATTTACTTTTTTGATCTCAAAGGCTAAAGCAGTAGCTGCAGAATCTAATGCCACCTTTTTCAATATAAGTGCTGCAAGTTTAACTTCAAAATATGTAAGTGTTCTTTTCCCCATATTGTCATGTTTTTAAATTACTGTCTTAAATGCTATTTAAATAAAATGATAGCAACATGACAGAAAATTTCCTTTCTGTGAGTTTTATGACTGTATGCTTATGTATAATGAATATCACTCCTCAAGGTACAAAGTTAGGTTCACTTTTTAGCTATTTTTAAATTAGAATTATGTTGTTGAATTTTGTCATGGTTTGGTAGGCCCTAGATTAAATACCATCTCTTTACTTAAGCTCCCTAATGTGGCTATCTAGAGATATGTGTGAGAACAGAACTTGTGGTAATTGAATATTCCCTGCTTTTGACTCTAAATTAAAGGATGGCATAAGGCTTCTCCTAGGTTTTTTGCTTGTTTTTTTGTTTTTGTTTTTGATTTTTCATTTTTTAATGCAGGGTCTCTGTATGTAGCCCTGGCTGTTCTGAAACTCACTTTGTAAACCAGGCTGGCCTTAAACTTACAGAGCTCTTCCTGCCTCTGCCACCAAGTGCTGGGATTAAAAGCATCCACCACTATGCCTGGCTCTCCTGTTCTGTTTTATTGCTTTATATCACAGTTTAATTTCTTTTCTAATTTTCCTTCCTCTGACTCCAGTGGTATTCAATTTGGGAGTTTAAGGAGAGCTGGCATCTGTCTCAGTCAAAAATGCTCTTGCTATACAAGTATGAGGATCAGAGTTTGAGCTCCGGAGTCCACACTAAAAAGCTGGCCATGGCAGCCTGTCCTTGTCATTCTAGCTGGGGAGATGGAGACAGCCAAATCTGAAATTTTATAGGTCAGCCCAGCCTAGGTGACTTACTGAACTTAGGCCACTGAGAGACCCTGTCTCCAAAAGGCAGGGGGGGGCACCAAATAGTACTGTATGCATGTACAACACACACAACTAGTATGAGTGGAACTGGAACACTGTAAGACCATGAAATATTTCCCAATAAGCCTTAATTTGAGAAAGTAAATAATGTGTTTTCAAAAATTATGTTTTGTGACACCATTGGAATATATCATGAGACATGAGATCATGAAGTTAAATTTTAAATCATGATAAAAACTGGAATACTGTTGCATTTATATGTGTTAAGAACGCATCATACCTTGTAGGTGGGAGAAGGAGAGAAATTGGTGAGAGCTCTCTTTGCTGTGGCTCGAGAACTTCAACCGTCTATAATTTTTATAGGTAAGTACTTTCCCAACTAAGTCAAGCATTTATGAAATTCTACTTTCCAAGTATGAGACGTTTGCTCAGAAAGCTACTCAGAAGGATAGGTTTGTTTGTTTGTTTGTTTTGTTTTGTTTTGTTTTGGGGCAGGGGGGTTTCAAGACTGGGTTTCTCTGTGGTTTTAGTGGCTGTCCTGGAACTAGCTCTTGTAGATCAGGCTGGTCTTGAACTCACAGAGATCCGCCTGCCTCTGCCTCCCAAGTGCTGGGACTAAAGGCGTGCGTCACCACCTCCCAGCAGAAGGATAACATTTTAAAGAATAAGTTCATCAGGACTATTAATAAGTACAGTCTAGATAAATATTAGATGATTTACCTACATTGGTCTTAAAAGCCCCTCTTTGCATTTCCTCTAGATGAAGTTGATAGTCTTTTATGTGAAAGAAGAGAAGGGGAGCACGATGCTAGTAGACGACTAAAAACTGAATTTTTAATAGAATTTGATGGTGTAAGTATTGGTAATCTATACATGTGCATATACATATTTTTAAGATTTAAAATTATCATATGTGTTTGTACATTTGCCTGCATGAGTTTTTGTGTACCGTATGTGTTCAGAGCCCACTGAGGTCAGAAGAGTTCATAAGATCCCCCAAAACTAGTTACATGTGGTTCTGACCTGCCATAAAACCCAAGTCCTCTGTAAGAGCCACAAGAGCTCTTAACCCCTGAGCCACCTTTCTAACCACTGGTTACATTTTTTACTATGGCAGTATTTTAACATATATACTTTGCTAATAAATGAGCCAAACTATATAAATATGGGTATGTATAGTTTCCTCTTTTTATTTTATCTAAAACACTGACTAAACATTTTTGGCTTGCAGGTGCAATCTGCTGGAGATGACAGAGTACTTGTAATGGGTGCAACTAATAGGCCCCAAGAGCTTGATGAAGCCGTTCTCAGGTATGAGATACATCATCTCTCCTACCTCCTTTTCTTTCTTTCTTTTTTTTTTTTTTTTTTTTTTTTTTTTTTTTTGAGGGGAGGGTGTGAAAGTCTCACTATGTACCCCTGGCTGGCCTGGAACTCAGAGAGATCTGCCTGCTTCTGCCTTCTTAGTGCTAGAACTAAAGGAGTGTGCCACCACACCCAGGGTCATCTCACCTCCCTCTTATATCCTGTATTCTCAGCGTTAAGACAAATGATTTGTCTTCCATGTGTTTGCTGTTCTGTTATTGCCATCTACAGCAAATGAGGCCTATGATGTTATTATAACTATTCTCTACAGGCTACATTTAGATAAATCATTTCTTTTACATTGCATTACATTAACTTTAAAGTCTAAAATCACAGCTGTCCTGGAACTTAAACTCTGTAGACCAGGCTGGCCTCAACTCACAGAGAGCCACCTGCCTCTGCCTCCCGACTAAAGGTGTGCACCACCAACGCCCGGCTTAAAAATACCTTTTTATAGCAATAACCACAAAGAGCATTTAGTCACCTTAGGTAAGATAGCTACAGCTTTTTCCCACCAGTTGTTATTTGAGCTGAGTTGCCTATAACTTTGAATTTATATTCCTAATTTGACTTTTCAGGCGTTTCATTAAACGGGTATATGTGTCTTTACCAAATGAGGAGGTAAGTATATTCATATTTCTATTTTTTTAAATAAAGTAAAAGTACCATCCTGAGAAATGCTGTATTTGCAAATCTGTGGTGTAGCCATTCTAAAGACAGTTTGTTGGGGTTAGAGAGACAGCTCAGCAGTGAAGACACTGACTGGCTGCTCCTCCAGAGGACAGATTTCAATTCCCAGCACCCACATGGCAGATCAAAACTGTCTGTACCTCCAGTTCCAGGAGACCCAACACCCTCACACATCCATACAAGCAAGATACCAATGCATATAAAATAAAAGAAGCAATTTAAAGAAAAAACAAAAACAAAACAATAACTTAGAGATGACCCAGCAGTTCCTGAGCATTTATCCAAATGAAGTGGGAACTTCTCCATAGTAGAACATGTTCAACAGTGTAAGAGCAGCTGTCTTAATAATAATAATCTTAACCTGCAAAAGCAGTTCATCGGTTGCCTAATGGATAAACAGATATGGCAAATACAGTTAATGAGTGCTATTTAGTTCAGAAATTATTATTTCATTATCTAGGGCTTGGGTTGTAGCTTAGAAATAGAGAATTTGCCCAGCATGTATAGGGCCCTGGGCTTAATCCACAGGACTGAAAAAAAATGCTCATGTTACATATTACATTCATTAATATGAACAAAATATAAAAAACAGTATAATAAGGGATGGGAGCCATATACAAACTAACTACATGATTTTATATTTTTATTTACCTACTTTTCTTTAAAATTTTGTGTATAGGTGTTTTACCTACTGTGTACCACATGTGTACTTGGGCCTCAGACAGGCCAGAAAGAGGGGATCAGATCCCCTGAAACTGGAGTGACACATAGTTAGGAGCTGCCATGTAGGTGCTAGGAATCAAGCCTGGGTCCTCTGGAGGAGCTATCTCTCTTGCCCCAATTTTACTCCTTTTAAATGAAATATTTAGAAAAGCTGATTTCTAGAAATACCATCAGGTAGATGGTTAGAGAGGAAAGGAGGTAGGAATGGAGATTAATTGTGAACCGTCATGAGTGAACGTCCAGGGGTGACAAATGTCCTAAAACTTTATTATAGTAATAATTTTATAGTTCTGTATGATTAAAAGTCATTTGAATTATATTCCTATATGAAAATAAATAAATCTTTGTTAAAAACAAAGTTTTCTAGCTCTGGTCCTTCGTGTCCTTGATAGTAACAGCAGCTACTTCCTTGGTGGTGTATCTGGACAGTCTTCAGAAAATCCCTCACTAATTCTCACAAATAGTTTTTGTTATATTTAACAGGCAGAAGTAATCAGGACTTGATTAAGAAATATTACATTAAGCTAATTCTTATTTTATTAAATAACACTGATCAGTTTTTATAATTCTGTTATCAGTTTGGACCTTACTGGTCTTTCATACTTATTTTCAGACAAGACTGCTTCTACTTAAAAACCTGTTATGTAAACAAGGAAGTCCACTGACCCAAAAAGAACTTGCACAACTTGCTAGGTGAGTAGTGCCATTCATCTGCCTAACGGCCTCTGTTTCATTTGTAAAGATTTCTTTCTTTGCTGTTTGAAATGAGCTAATATAAAAGTTGTTTAAGTAAAAGAAAGCTTTTTAAAGTTTGTTTACCACAAAACTTATCTTTTGCTTCCTTTATTTTCTTACCTCCTCTTCCTGATATAATGAAATTTCTGTCTTATGCTAGACCTGAACTAAACATCTAATGACAGTATTATAGTCTTTCTATAAATAAAAAAAGTCAAATCCCCTCATATTTGAAAGCAACACAGATATTTTCATATGTACTTGCTCTTTTGTAGTAGGTAGAATCAGATTAACTTGTTCATCTGAAAACATACTTTCAAACACAATGAGGAAGCTGAGTGTGGTGATGCACACCTTTTCCAAGTACTCAGGGGGTGGAGGCAGTAGAATCAAGGCCATCTTGGGCCACTTATAGAGACCCCCATCTCAAACCTGAGACTGTCATGGTGTAGGAGTAGCAGCGGTTTATCACCACAGTGTCTTGCAATGAAGGCCAGAGACTGGTCACTACTCTGACCCCACTCTTTAGTAGACTCAGCACGCAGGTCTCTGAGACCATCCCGGCAGCCGTTACTTTCGCCTTCCCTCTTCAGGGAGCTCTTCCTTCCCTTAAGGCTCCCTTCATGCTGCCTTATCTATCCCTCCTCAATGTCCTGTCATGGCCCTGAGGCCTGTCCTCTAATGAACCTGGTTCCTGAGAGGTGACTGTGTCACAGCACCCTTAACGAAACAGTGCTGCTGCTTTATGATTGCCTTATTCCTACATTTACTAGATGGAGACTTAGTAACAGGAAACACTGTGTGTCAAGGGGATTCTTGTAGACCGGCCGACCCAAAAGGATTCTTACAGAAGGCTGGCAGCATTATTGGATCATAAGCCGGTCAGATACCAAAGATTTGTGACTTGCAGTAAGCCCACTCAGAACAGTATTGCTTTATTTGAACTTGATTCTGGGGGGGGGGGGGGTAAGGGGAGGGGAGTTTAACCTGATAAATGGTAGACTATATTTTAAACACTTTTTCAGTGTACTTGAGTAGACACTGGCTGCAGGCAAGAACATAGTTCAAGTAGCCAGAGGATCAGTTCAAGGTTATCCTTGCTACATAGCAAGTTTGAGGCCAGTTTGGATATGAGTATAAAACAAAATGAGTCATTTTCTCAGTGAGGCCTTTTCTGGGAACCCCATTTAAATGATAGTGTCTCACTAATATATAGCACATAGCCCAGCAGTACAGTTACACAGAGGTACCTACCCGCCCCCACCCAGGGTTTCCTCTGTGTAACTGCCCTGGCTGTCCTGGAACTCGCTCTGTAGACCAGACTGACCTCAAACTCACAAGACATCCACCTGCCTCTGCCTCCTGAGTGCTGGGATTAAAGGCATGAGTACTGCACACACAGGGGGATCTCTGTGAGTTTGAGGCTAGCCTGGTCTGTAGAGCGAGTTCTAGGACAGCCAAGGCTGTTTGTTACATGGAGAAACCCTGTCTCAGAAGAAAAAGAAAAAAAAAACAAAAAACAAAAACCGATGTGTGCCACCCCCACCTGACTCAACTACTATTGGGGGGGGGGCAGAAAAGAAAAAGATTGTTTTTATTTTATCTCACTGTGTATCTCTGTCTAGACTGGAAGTCACTATGTAGAGCAGACCAGCCTTGAACTGTCTCTGCTGGGGTTGGATAAAGGTGCCATACCCCGGTATAATTTAAAAACTTAAGTGGTGCTAAAGAGATAACTTAGAAGTTAGGAACACTGGCTGCTCTTCCAGAAGACCTGGGTTTAATTCCCCAGTACACAGATGGCAGCCACAACCATCTAACTCCAGTCTCGGGGAATCTGATGCCCTCTTCTGACCTCCTGGTACCTGGGTGCATGTGGGATACATTACATGCAGGCAAAACACCCATACCATAAATTAAAAAAAAAAAAAAAAAAAGCTGGTGGTGACACACACCTTTAATCCCAGAACTCAGTGAAACAGGCAGGCGGATCTCTGTGAGTTCAAGGCCAGCCTGGTCTACAGAGCAAGTTTGAGGATAGCCTCCAAAACAATACAGAGAAACCTTGTCTCAAAAAATAAAACAAAACAAAAAACAAACAAGAAAATTAAATCCTGGCACTGGAGAGATGGATAAGCAGTGAAGAGCACTGACTACTGTTGAAGAAGACCTAGGTTCAGTTCCCTGCACCCACATTGGGTAGCTCACAGCCACCTGTAACTCCAGCCCCAGAGGATCCATGCCTTCTTCTGGCATCTGTGGGCATGTGCCCACACAGTTCTGTTCAGACATACAAGCAGGCACACATACATATTAAATAAATAAATATATTTTAGAAGAATGAAAAATCCAACTACATAACTGTTAGCTTACCTCTCATGGGATTTTTGTGTGTTCTTCTGTTGGGACTTATTTGATTCACTGTATAGTTGAGGTTAGTCTCAAGCTTGTGATGCTTCTTCCTGTACCTAGTAAGCTGTAGAATTACAGGCAAGTTTTAATCTTCAAGGAAGATAACTTGTTATCTCCTGCTTCCACTGTTCAGAATGACTGATGGATACTCTGGAAGTGATCTAACAGCTTTGGCAAAAGATGCAGCACTGGGCCCTATCCGAGGTGAGTTTGAAAGTATTTGAAACACTAAAACTATAAATGGTACCATATTCCAAGTCTAGCCTCTAGAGAGATGCATAGTTTTACACATTTTATTTTATGCATTTGAGAGTTTTGCCTTTTGTTTGTTTTTTCTCTGTATAATAGCCCTGGCTGTTCTGGAACTTGCTTTGTAGAGGCTGGCCTCAAACTCAAAGAGATCTGCCTGCCTCTGCCTCCCAGGTGCTGGGTGGGATCAGAGGCTCCACTAGAGTTTTGTCTTATTTTTATTTGCGCCATATGCATATCAGATCCCCTAGAACTGGAGTTACAGTAAATTGTGAACTGCCATGTGGGTGCTGGGAAATGAACCAGGTCTTCTTGTAAGAGCAGCCAGTGCTCTTAACCACTGAGTCATCAGTATAAAAGGTGTTCTCTGTTGCATATTCCTCATCTTTTCTGTATTAACAACCTTTAAAATGTAAAACTAGGTTGACTAAATGACTCAGCTGTTAAAGAGAACCTGAGTTCAGTTCCCAGCACCCATGTCAGATGGCTCACAACTGCCAGTAACCCAGTTCCAGGGACACAGTGCCTCTAACTTCCTCTGGTACCTTTCTCTACTTATACATTTCCCTCACACACATAACAAATCTTTAAAACGTAAATCAGACTACAGAATATGGGAAAATAACCCACGAGCATTTTACCCTGCCCCTTTATAAAAACTTTTCTTACTTTCTTAAAACCTTTCATCACCATCTTCACCTAAGTTTGCATACAATATCTCTGTTGGGAATTTACACAACAACCTTTAGATTGCAGAACTGCTGTAGTACACCTCTTTACAAGTCTTAAGAACAGTGATAGTGACTACAAATAGTCTTACTACCTGGTTTGTAGTTGTGCACCTCATGGGTGTGCAAACAACAACACTAAGTCAAAGCAAATTGATACAAACTAAGCTTTAAATGGAAAGGCTACCCAAAGGGTCAGGTTTCCCCCATCTGCATTGTACTTAATAAATGCAGCAGCAATCACAAAAATTAATTTTTTTTATTTCATATCTAGGCATCCACATACAGTGCATATTATATAAAAGAAAACAGTACTTATGTTGCATGTGTTGAATTTAGTTTTATTTGTTTATTTGAGACAGAGTCTTTCTATGTAGTCTTGGCTAGCCAGGAACTCACTGTGTGGAGCAGGCTGGCCTCAAATTCATAGAGATCTACCTGCCTACCAAGTGCTAGGATTAAAGGTATGTGCCACCATGCCCAGCTATTTTATTAAATTTGACAAAGCTAAGACACATAACATGTAGCACTCACATGTATATATCCACATCTCTTACTGATATATGGGATATCAAATATAGTGTAATTATAATAATGTTCATTTAACTAGACTTACAAGGTGATAGTTTAAAAGATTTTAGAAGCTAGGCATTGGTGGCACATGCCTTTAATCCCAGCACTGAGGAGGCCAAGGCAGGGGGATCTCTTTGAGTTTGAGGTCAGCCTGTTCTACAGAGCTAGTTCCAGGACAGGCTTCAAAGCTACACAGAGAAACCCTGTCTCAAAAAACAAAAACAAACTAACAAACAAAAAGTTTTTAAAGCTAGGTATGGTGACATGTGCCTTTAATGCCAGCACTAGGGAGGCAGAAGTGGGTAGATCTCTAGAAGTTTAAAGTCAGACAGTAAGGGCATAGTGATAGTCTGTCTCAAGAAAGAGAGGATGGGGGCTGGGGAGATAGCTGAGTTAAGAGTACTGGCTTTCTCTCAAGATGACTAGGGTTCAATTCCCAGAGCCACTTTTCAGCTCAGTGGTTAAGAACACTGTCTGCTCTACCAAAGGTCCTGAGTTCAATTCCCAGAAACCACTTGGTGACTCACAAACATCTGTAATGAGATCTGGTGTCCTCTTCTGGACTGCAGGCGTCATACATGCAGGCAGAACATAAATAAATCTTTTTTTTTTTTTTTTTTTTTTTTTTAATGGGGCCAGGCAGTGGTGGCACATGCCTTTAATCCCAGCACTCAGGAAACAGAGACAGGCAGAGGCCAGCCTGGTCTACTGAGCAAGTTCCAGGATAGCCTCCAAAACTACAGAGAAACCACCCTGTTTTGAAAAACCAAGAAAAGAAAAAAGGAGGGGGGAAAAAAGAAGAGATGAGAGAGAGAGAATAAAGCTTTTAAGACTTAGTATTCCAAAGTACCAAAGCCTACTAATAAGGTAGGCATGTTGGCACAGACTTGTAATCCAGCTGTTGAGGAAGCTGACATATGAGGGTCACAAGTTCAAGGCTAGTATGGACTACAGAGTGAGATGAAGGCGTGTGTAAAAGAGACTGTCAAGATACAGCTCAGTGATTGAACATTGCCTAACATGTCCAAGGCCCTGGTTCAGTCCGGTACTACAAATAAATAAACAACAAAACCCTAAGGGCTAGGAGATGACTCAACTAGGTAAGAGCACTTGCTGTGCAACTAAAATCAACCTCCAAGTTCGAAATCTCCCAAATGCACAGTAAAAACTAGACATGACTCCACATACCAGTAATCTCAGTACTGAGGAACATTTCCCAGCCAGCTTAGCCAAATAGTGAGATGCCTTGTTTTTATGTTAGTTTTGTTTTAGATTTATTGCACACACATACTTGTGTGTAAGCAAGGATGCCAGAAGAGGAAGGCAGGTGCCATTGACTATCACCCCCTGCCTATTACCTTCAGGTAGGATGTCTCTCTAAACCTGGATCTTAGGTTTTCCTGACTAGACCAGAAATTGCAAACCCTAGCAATCTTCAAGTGTCTGTCACCCTTGCAGCAGAGGGCATGTTTCAAGGTGCTGGGATCTGAACTCCGGGCTTCATGATTGTGTGGCAAATGCAATTAACCACCGAGTAGCTCTCCAGCCCTCAAGGCCCTGTCTTTAAAGGACTAAGGGAGAGTAAGTTCTATGTACACACACACACACACTCTCTCTCTCTCTCTCTCTCTCTCTCTCTCTCTCTCTCTCTCTCTCTCTCTCTCTCTCTCTCTCTCTCCAAAAATGTTGAAAACAAATGGAGGAAAAACGGTCAAGCTGGCTGTCTGGAATTCAAGGAGACAGCATCACAGCATGCTCCCCAGGCCACCCACACACAGGGTTTCTCTGTGCAGCCCTGGCCATCCTGGAACTCATTCCGTACACCAGGCTGGCCTCCAACTCAGAGATCCATCTGTCTCTACCTTCTGAGTGGGATTAAAAGCATGCACCACCACCCAACCAAAAAAAAAAAAAAAAAATTACGACTGTGTATATAGATAAGTATGATAGTAGGACAGATATTCAGGCCCAAATGTTGGTCCTACAAAACTCTCAGGAAGGTCCTCGCGGGGACATTGACTCCCAGGTCCCTATCAGAAGCCCACATTTGTAGAAGAAATACCTCTGAACTTCCCAAAGATAAGCCCCCATGGGGTGAAGGGTCCTCAACAATAGAAATGTCTCCCAGAAGTAAGACCCTAAGGCTGGAAACCATCATGATAGGGACACTGCTCACCTCACAGAAGCAATCATCCAATGGTCTTCATCTTCTCAAAAAGTCTTCCCTGGTGTGCTTCAAATGGAACCAGGAAAATAAAGTTAGGCCCTGATGTTCCTTCATTACTGATTGAAACAATACAGGAAGTGATTCTCCAGTGAAACATATAACTAACCAGATTTAGGTTACTGAATCTGTTACCAGCTTCTACCTCCATGCTGTTTTCCCTCTGAGAATTGCAGAGCCAATAAACAAGACTAAGCACTCACTGAGCAATGAATAGACTTCCATTCTTAGTCAAGAATACCAATGGGAACAGAGGCTCAGTGGTTTAGGGAGTACTTGTTGCTCTTCCATAGGACCCAGGTTCAGTTTCCAATACCCACATGGTGCCTGTCACCATCTGTAGCTCCACTTCCATAGGCTCTGACACCTTCTGGCCTCTGCAGGAAACAGGCATACAAACACCTACAACATATGAAATAAAAATTTAGTGAGGGGCTGGAGAAATGGCTTCACAGTTAAGGGCGTTTGCTGCTCTTACAGAGGACTCAGGTTGTGTTCTCAGCACCCACCTTGGGTGACCTACAACCACCTATAACTCCAACTGCAGGAGATGTGATGCCCTCCTCACATTTGCCCTCAGCAAATACTTTCACACATGGGGCACACACAGAGAGACATAAATAAAAATAATAAAACTTTAAAAAAAAAAAGTAGAAATGGAAGAGAAATTTGCAGATCAACTGTGAAGTATCAGTTCTTGATGGTGAGTAAGGAACAAGACAACTGGGTGGTTTGTTTCTTTGGCAGTGCTGGGGATTGAAGGCCTTATGCATGTTAAGACAATCTGCTTTTTGATCTATAGCTACAGCCTCAGCCCCTATTGCATTTTATAGAGATTTAGTAATTAGAAGAATGGGGGGGGAGAAAATTTTGGTTATGAAGAAAACAAAATTTTTGTGATTAAAGAAAATAAAGAAATCTAGGAGCTATAGAGATAACTCAGTGATTAAAACCACTGGCTGTTCTTACAAAGGATCTAAGTTTGATTTCCAGCACCCACATGGCAACTTAAAATCAACTATAACTCCAGGGGATTCCAATAATACCCTCTTCTGGTATTTTTAAAATTTTATATGCAGTGGTCATGGTGCATATAATGCCTATAATTTCAGCACTCACAAGGCAGAAGCAGGTGAATCTCTAAGTTCGTGGCCAGCCTGGTCTACAGAGTGGGTTCCAGTATAGCCAGGGCTGTTACACAGAGAAATCCTGTCTCAAAAAACAAAACAACAAGGTATTTATTTATTTATTTTTGGTTTTTCAAGACAGGGTTTCTCTGTGGCTTGGAGCCTGTCCTGGAACTTGCTGTTGTAGACCAGGCTGGACTCGGGAACTCACAGAGATCTGCCTGCCTCTGCTCCCAAGTGCTGGGATTAAAGGCTTGTGCCACCAATGCCCAGCTAACAAGATCTTTTATAACCAACAAGTTGCATTCTTTTTAGTTCTGTTTCAAGTTTGTAAACTTGTTTGGGGCATATGCAAGAAATTGAGGACCTACATCCCCTCCTTTGTAGCTTCATGAGCTCTCTCTCTCTGAATCTCTCTTGGCTTTAATAATTTGTATTACATGGGTACTATTAGATCATTGTACTTAGATTTGCCAAAAAGAAATTTAAATTTCAAAGTTGTTTTTTTAAATACCTAATTTGTGTTTTACAGAACTGAAACCAGAGCAGGTGAAGAATATGTCTGCCAGTGAGGTATATACTATTTTGAGATTATTTTTCTTCATTTGAGTTCTCTATGAGACTCGTAATTTTTCTCTAGCCCATTTCATTATGTAAGCCTTATAAAATCAGTTACCATGCTGTATTTAGTAAAGGTTAAAAAAATGTACAGAGCCAGGTGTGGTGGCTCATGCCTTTAGTCCCAGTGAGTTGGAGGCCAGCCTGGTCTACAAAGAAAGTTTCAGGACAGCTAGGACTGTTACACAGAGAAACCCTGTCTCACAAAACAAAACAAAAATGCACAGTCGTTTTCTCTTACCAAGTTATGTAAGCACTGAATGAGAAGTTACTAGAAACTTGGTTTAATATGTTAAGAGGATCCCTAGGGGTAGAGCTCAGTGCCTCGAATATATAAAGCCTGGTGTTAGGTCCTCAGAAATACTAACAGCAATCCCCTCACATGTTTACTGTGACCATCCCTTTTTTTTTTTTTTTTTTTTTTTGGTGATGAACCTGGTACCAACTTAGCAGATACACTCTTGGTAATTAGAAAATGACCAGTGTGCAATATTACAGAACTATGGAGAGAAATACCAGAAGTAAAGTAAGTTTGTGTTGTTGTCTTAGTTACTTTCCTATTGTAACAAAACACCATGAGCAAGATCACTTAGAAAACCAACTTTGAGCAGCATGGCAACAGGCAGGCATGGTACTGAAGCAGAAGTCAAGTGCTCACGTCTTTACCAGCAAGTAGCAGGCCAAAAGAGACATACTGGACTTGACATGGGCCAGTCATTATGTCAGAAGTTTGAAACCTCACAGAGCACCTCCAGTGACCACTTCCTTCAATGAGAAGCAGTTCCACCAATTTCACATCACGCATTCAAATATATTGGGGTGGTGTAGGGGGGGTCAGTCTCATTCAAATCACTATACTTACACATCCCAGTGGTCAAATTTAAATATTTAGTAATAGTGCATTGGCATACATGTTTTTAAGGTGTCTTATATAGCAAACTTGGCCTAATATGTAATGTAAAAATATATTTAGATGATTAGCATGATTTTCTAAGAATATGTTTGTCTTATAAATTTAATAACGTTCCATTTTAATCCATTGTTTATTGTGTTCATCCATTTCTATGTCACTTTTTTTAATCTAGATGAGAAATATTCGATTATCTGACTTCACAGAATCCTTAAAAAAGATAAAACGAAGTGTGAGTCCTCAAACCCTAGAAGCATACATACGCTGGAACAAGGACTTTGGAGACACCACTGTTTAAAGGAATGCCTTTGTAAGCCCGCAGAACATTCTACTTCACAAGAAACACGAGCTTCAGAGAAGTTACCAACTGCAGGAACTCAGACTTCGTTAATAGGACTTTTTAGAGTTCCTTTTTGTGTACCAAACTTGAAGAGGAACAAGAAGACAGACCTAAATAAAATATGCAGTGTGAATGGAGTTTTTGTTTAAGGCCTTCTTGCCTGGCAGTCATGGTTTTCTCAGTGGGCACTGTTAGTTAGAGCACAGCAAAAATAGATTCTGGTTCTTTATTGATAGTAATCATTATGTAAATAATAATTTGTACATTGTGTTCAGGTGAAAGTATTCCAGAGACAGTGACTGGAAGACACAGAGCTGGCTGTTGTCTGTCTCCTGATGTTTTTCTTATAACACTCTATTTTCTGGTTTCCTTTCTGCTGTTACCTTAGCTCCCTGTGATTAGAATACCAAGTACTCAGAGTTCTTTCTGCTTTTCTTACCAACTCTAGTGTGCCAAATGGAACCATTTTCCCATCTGCAGTAAGGAAGAACTACACTAAGGCTTTTTTTTTTTAACCGAGATAACAAACAGTAAACCACTAATACCTTCTTTTCATGTTTTGTTTTTCTATCTTATTGCCTTGCCACCAAACAGCTTAGAAAGCAATTTAATAGCCACAGAGAAAAGCTGGCATGACAAAGGTTTGAAGTTTTGAGTCAATGTCATGTAACATGTAGTCTGCCCTTGTGTGCCCTGCAGTATTTTTTTTTTTCTAATATGTCAGAAATCCATTGTAGATTTAACTTATTCCAGCTGAAATTCATTTTTTGTGTTGGAGTTATTCTGGTATTTTAGAGAGCCACTTTTAATTGCTATAAATTGCACCAGTGTGAGAGAAGGAGGAAAGACATGTCTAGTTTATTGCTTACTACTTTCTTAACAAGGTAATTAAATGCCAGTGGCACCACCATCTTTTTACTAATTACTATCCCTTCCACGAAACTGAAAATGCCCAATTTTTCTACATGACATATATTTTATAGGCTTCCTGTGCGTACTTATTAACTAAAAAGCTCTAGTCTATTGATCTACCTTCTGTTTCCATAAATGTATAGTAATTCTTTGTTGTTTGCATAAATATGGCTGGACTTTTATTATAAAAATGCATTACAGGAAGTGGAGGCTCATGTGTGGCCTTTTAAGAATTGTATCAAGGCAAATGGACATTTGCCATTAGTTTACTGTTTAAAAGTTTGTTTACAGAATTTTTCTTTGGTGCTTAAATGATGCTGTGTAAAATATCATGAATAGAAAGAATAGTGTTGTGGTAGTAATACCAACTCTTCGTGTAAGAAAAATGTTTGAGAAAACACATTAAAACACTTGCCCTCTCCCCAGATGAAAATTTTATGATAAAGACTTACATCCTCAATTTTACTCTTGGTCTTGTTAAAGATTTATCTAAGCATAGAAGATGGGTTATTTCTTAGAAGCATATACCATTTATAGCTGTAATTTAAGTCATGTCTCTTTTAATCATGATTTTAGACATCCCTGAATGATAAAAATGAAAAGCTTAGAAGAATAGGAAAACAAATTTAAACCAAAGCTGTGCATATTTTTGGTTCTGGCTAAGTGTCAGTTTAAGGTGTCATATGTTCGAGCATTAGTTATAAACACTGATGATGCAAGCCTGTGATGAGTCGTGCAGCCGTCCTAACCCAAAACATCTACAATAAAGCTCTTGAACTTCAGTTTGTTTTCATTTAGGAAGGGATTAATAACATCGCCGCTATTTATGTATTGAGACAGGCTTCAGCTCCTTTTAAAAATAGAAGGATCTTTAAAGTTATGTTTAGTATGTGAAAGGGTTTTAAGAGATAAAATTTTCATGTGTCTAAAAGATACAAAAGTTGTTAACCTAAACTGCTAAGTCAAAGGTATTATACTGTGTGACTGTCCATGTGTATTAGCTCCTTTGTTCATCAGAGAACACTTTCTGTAATGTCTTAGGATCCAGGTTTATGTTAGCCTTTCTGTTGTTGTTTTTAAAACAGGATCACATGGAGCCTAAGCTGGCCTAAAACTAAATGAGTAGCCTAGGAATACCTTCAACTGATTTTCTTCTCCACCTCCCAAGTGCTGGGGTGCCCATGTGCACCCCACACTGGGAAGGCTTGTTCTTTTACAGTAAGGATAGATGGTTTCCAAATTAATATTAGATTTTATTCAATATTAATTTTAGATTTTTGCATTGAATTCTATTTATTGTTCAAGATGGATTGGAGGCTGGAGGTGGTGGCACACGCAGAGGCAGGCAGATTTCTGAGTTCAAGACCAGCCTGGTCTACAGAGAAATTGCCAGGACAGGCTCCAAAACTACACAGAGAAACCCTGTCTCAAACCCACCCACTACAGTCCTTGTACGCCTGGTGAACTTACTGATCACCTAACTGAGCCAAAAGAAAGCTTCATACCATCTTTCCAGATCTGCTAGGGCTACACAGCTTTTCTGAGACTAGAAGCCAGTTGATTTTTGTCCTTTTGTGCTTAAGGTGTAAAAGGACAAACAGAACTTTGAGTTAAATATGTGTGGCATTCTCTGTTTATAATGTAAAACCTGTATTGTACAAAATTAGCTTTTTTTGTAGAATGAACTACTTACATTTTGCTTTTTGGATTCTTAAGGAAGAAGATTTTCTTTTAAATGTCTGTCTTGATTTTAGTCTTAACTTTTTACTTCTATAAAAAAATGACTTTAAGGGGACACACAGCTGCATAAAGTTGGTTTTTATCCTAATTAATTTGATTGTAAATAAATGACAAACCTTGTTTTGCCTTAATTTTTTATAGTTTGAATCTTTCAACTATAGTTTTATAGTTTGAATATTTCAGAGGTTGCAATTTGATGGAGTGTTTGTAACTCTTGTATTAATAAACTCTGAACAAAATATACAAAGCAGTGAATAGAAGCCTCTGAAGAACAGCACAGACTAGTCAGAAGTGACAAAAATGTGTGTTTTTAAAGAGCTCTCTTATGTGTCAGTTTCCAGCCTGTGCAGTTCCTTTGAAAATGAAATTTAAGCAGAATGTAGCTGACTTGTTTGGATGAAGACGTATTTCAGGGTTCTGAGGCACCTGGAATGAGAAAGGAAATCTTGGAGAGGCACAGGGTAAGTTAGTCCACATCATCTGCAGATTCTTATTTGGTTCAAGTCCTTAGTACTTTCCAAAATCTTACCTGTCTAGGAGGACATTCAAAGGATCCCAGCAGATAGCAAAGGTGAAAGAATTGATCAAATTGAGCATACTCCTGTAATCGCAGCCCTTGGGTGGCTGAAGGAAGGAGAGGACTCCTGCCAGTTCAAGCCCAATGTTGATACATAGTCATTTCCAGTCCAGCCTGAGTTTCTTAGACCCTGTCTCATAAAACGGATTATAAGCCTATCATGATGGTCAATATCTTTAATTCCTGCACCTACAAAGCTCTACAAAGAGTTCAGGCCATTCAGGGAGGGCTACACAGTAGACCTGTCTCAAATAGCAAAACTAACAATCCAAAGACAGCAAAGTGTTACTTTGTGGGTAAAGTTTTGAAACTGGAAATTGAAGCCTGGCAGTGGTAGGGCACACCTTTCATCCCAGCACTCTGGAGGCAGAGGCAGATAGATCTCGGTGAGTTGAGGCCAGCCTGGTCTACAACATGAATTCTAGGACAGGCAGGACTACACAGAGAAACCTTATCTCAAGAAAATGTATGGACAAAATGAAAAGAAACTTGACAACTTCGTTATCTTCTTAATAGTTTAAATCCAGAATAGGCAACATTCTTTAGAAGAAAACAATCCAAGTATTCAAAGGAAAGTTATGTGATCTGTAATCAAAATACATGGAAGCATACACATATCACCTCCTTTGGAGGATGAACAGTGGATGCCTTCAAAAGATAATAGATGCTAATTTTCTTTTTTCGTTTTTTTAAAGATTTATTTATTATGTATACAGTGTTCTGTCTGCATATATGCCAGCCAGCCAGAACATAGACATAGATAGATATAGACATAGATATACATATATAGATATATAGTGTTCTGCCTACATGTACACCTGCACACCGAAAGAGGGCATCAGATCTCATTACAGATGCTTGTGAGCCATTAAGTGGTTACTGGGAATTGAACTCAGGACCTTTGGAAGAGCAGTTAGTGCTCATATCCTCTGAGCCATCTCTCCAGCCCTAAATCCTAATTTTCAACAGAGAAATAGAACTTACCAAATCAAAGGGAAACCTGGAAGCAAAAAGTAACTTAAATAAAGCACACATCAAATATTCTTTGGTTTGTTTTGTTTTTGTTTTTTGTTTTTTGTTTGTTTGTTTGTTTGTTTTTGTTTTTTGACAAGGTTTCTTTGTATAACACTGGCTATCCTAAAACCAGTCCATAGACTAGGATGGCCTTGAACTCACAGAGATGTGCCTACTTCTTCTATCTCTTGAGTGCTGGAATTAAAGACATGCATCACCACACCTGGCTTTTTTTTTTTCTTTTTTATTCATTTATTTTTGCTATCAAATATTCATTCCAGCTTTTAGTACATGTGCTGCCAAAGTGAGCACTGTCAAATATTCTTAATGCTAACCCAGTCATAGAGAAGGCAGAACAAGGGTACAGGGAAGGTTTGAGACAGTGAACAGCTTCATTACTTACAATCTGAAGTACAGAAGAAAAAAAATGCATGTGAGAAACAAGTAAAATGTAATGCCCGAATTTCCTCCCAAATATACAAAAGATACCAACACCAACACAAATTTTAAGTTCAGTGAGCCACAGAATCTGTAAAGTGCAGATTTTTTAAAAATTAGTCTTCCTAACTGTAGCACCCCTTTTAAAAAATAATTTTTATATCATTCACATGCATGTATGTCTCTGTGGGGTTGTCACATCGGAGTTACAGACAGGTATGAGCTGCCATATGGATGCTGGGAATTGAACTCAGGTCCTTGGGAAGAGCAGCCACTGCTCTTAACTGCTGAGCCATCCAGTCCCAGAATGCAATTTAAGACTTCTGACCTGTACTTACTGTCTCCAGCAACAGAAAGCATTTGTTAGGAAATACATAAAGGGTAAACTTGCTTTAAATCAGCGGGGCATTGGTGGTGCATGGCTTTAGTCCCAGCACTAGGAAATCAGAGGGAGACAAATCTCTGAGTTCAAAGCCAGCCTGGTCTACAGAGCTAGTTCCAGGACAGGTTCCAAAACAATACAGAGAAACCTGTCTCAAAACACACACACACACACACACACACAAAAAAAAAAAAAAAAAAAAACTTGCTTTAAATCTACATTTACAGTTGCTAACCAAGGACTATCTTGAAAGCAAGACCTTAGGACAACAGTCAGGGGCTGCTGGTTTAACCTGGTTTAACCTGAGCTGTAGTTCAAATCATTGTTCCTGTGGTAACCCAGAGTTGGGTGTCAGACCAAGTGACTGGAAGAGGTGGAAGAGGTCATCTAAAATGATGGGCCATTAATATGTGCAATCAGTCAAGAATCAGGAAGTTAGTCCACAGTGGAGTGGACAGAAGTGCTCAGCACTGTGAAAAAGAAGTCTGTATTTTTCACTAGCTGAACTTCAATCTAAGGGGACTTAACGTACAGTTTACTTGGGTTGGAGTTTCATTGGATTTTCCTTTCATCTGTTTTCCTGTGGCACATACCCTTGAAAACATTTAAGTGGGCTGTGTAATCCCAAGAAAGAGGCAGAAGAATCAAGGCCATCATCAACTCCATAGTAACATCAGGCCAGCCTGGGCTATCAAAGACAAGTTCTCATTAAAAATGACTTTCCAGTTGTGTAAATCAATCAGTATATATTTTGGTGAAGTCATGATCCAGATTTTCACACAGTATATGCTATCACCTTTCAGATCTCAAAGTACACCATTTCAACAAGATACTTGCTTTAGTTTATTCTGCCTGGGTGGGGGGAATCACTTTCCAAGAGTACTTATCATTCAGATGTTAATCTCAACTTCCTGAATAAACTCTTCTGAAGGACTGGAGAGATGGCTCAGTGGTTACAGGTACTTCCTGTAAAATCATGAAGAATGAGTTCAAATCCCTGAGCCCACACTTGGTGATTCACAAAAGCCTTTTATTTTAACTCCAGCTCCAAGGCTTCTAATGCTCTTTGCTAGCCTTTGCAGACACCTGAACACACAAATAAAATACTTGAAAAAGCTTTTCTGACCACTATGAATTAACCACCTAGTCAATCTTTAATAACTAACATACCCCTCCTTTTTTTTTTTAAACATAGGGTATCACTGTGAAGCTCTGGCTGAACTGAAACTCAGAACTCTGCTTGTGTTTGCCTATAATTATTAAGATTAAAGTCATGAGCCACCACACCTAACACATTACCCTACATTTGATATACTGCTTATGAATAGCTTTATATTTTTTTTCTTTCTGCATTTGTCTAACTTCCCTATGCATGACAGATAAGGACTCCAAATGAAGTCTTTATATACTACTGTCTTACTTTTCTTTAACAGCACTGTATAATAAAGATACCACAGAGATTTAAAAGTATGTTAGGGCATGAGCCAGAGTATGTTAAGTTCAAGACCATGTATTCTGAGTTCCACACCAGCTTGTAAAACAGATATGACATGAGCCATGTTTCATGTTTTAAAGTATTTTATTCTTGGACAGTTTCCTAGTATACAATGAATTTTAGTCTTTTTTTTTTTTTTTTATGTTACCTTGTCTTATCCCTCCTCCCACACAAACTGTTCTTCCCAACAAATTCCCCTACTTCCATGGATTTTCATATATTTGGTAGTGAAATATGATTTGAAATCCATCACCTTCCACAGCCTCCCAAGATTGGCACCACATTGAATGTATAACATTTTTTGTTGTTTTGTATTGCTGAAATGGAACCCAGTTATAGCCCCTTAATTTCTCCTTAAGTTTGAGATGGCCTTATTAAATTGGAGAGGCTGACAGTCTACTCAAGCATGCTAGAATTCAATATTTCTACCTCAGCCACCAACTCTATGTAAGGTTACAAGTCTACACCCAGTTTAGGCAATGTGTGTCACTTGTGCTACATAAGGGCTCTACCACCTACTGGTGGTGTCTGATCTTATTTTTTGTTTTGTTTTGTTTTTCCCGACAGGGTTTTCCTGTGAAGTAGTTCTGGCTGTTCTAGAACTCCCTCTAATAGTCCAGGCTGGCCTTGAACTCACAGAGCTCCACCTGTATTTGCCTCTGGAATGCTGAGATTAAAGGCATGTACCACCTGGCATACTTGATCCTCTTAAACTGGAGTTACAAGCATTGTGAGCAGTCATGCGGATGCTGGGAATTAAACCCAGACCCTCAGGAAGGGCAGTCAGTGTGGGAACCAAGAGGCCTCGGTATACAACCCACACACACAGATGGCTGAGAAACAGCCGTTAGTCATGCAAATGTTAGTGCAAGATAAGATGTTGGTGTTCCACCTGGGTTCCTGGAACTGTTTTTGACAAAGCCCTTTCCAGGAACATAATGACCGGGCCACAAACCAAGGCCATGAACCCAAGCACTATGACATGAGGAACTGCCTCGCTGTCTCCCCCTCCCTTCCTGAGTCCAGGGTATATAAGCCTCCAAGCCCTTTAATAAAGAGCCTTCTGATCTTGACTGCTGTGTGTATGTGTCTTCAATCCTGATGCCCTCCACGTGACTCGAACCCAGGCTGTGCATGCGTGGAAATTGGAGGTCCCACCGAGACCAAGAAAGAGAAGTAAGCAGACAGGGTCATCCTGAAGCCGGCATTAACATATTGGGGTTAG